TCCCAAGCCAGTTCTTAACCATCGCGCCACTCGGCTGGCCCAATAAACCGTAGTTTTATGTTGCCATGCTATGATAATACAAATAAAAGTAATGTTATAAGTTTTGCCACCCATGTGGGAATTCCCAGATGATGTAAAAGTTATCAGGGTTTACTTTCTGTTCTCTTTGATCACAAAAATCATGGAAGAATGTAAAAAGGACAAACCTGAAAGTTCATATCCACGTTTGTCTATGATAGTACAAGTTGAGAGAGACCAAACTCATGCTGAGCACAACTATATAGATATATACACGCCTTTTAAGGGATTGGAGAGTTTTTAAGCTTTATGGAAAAATAGCACAGATTCTAGAAGGGGGACCACAGAGATGTGAGTCCATATTTTGGGAGCCACACTTCTCCTAGGGGCATCTTGATTATGGGTCACATTCTGAGAGTCTGGGCAGAGGGTCATGGATATCAGGCACTCTCCTGTGAGAGATAAAAAGCTCTACCAATACACTTAAAGGGCCAAAATCCCATAGAGAAGGTAGGGTCCAAGAAGTGAGATCGATATGTTTTCTCTTAAGCAATTGTCAAATTATTAAACTTCACAAGGAAAGAGACTAAAAAGAAAATTGAAAAGAAGACTGGAGTTTTAGTACTCATGTGGTGTTAAGGAGATAAAATCTCAGATTCAGCCTTCAACAAAAAGAAGGGGCTTTGCTAATGATCCAGGCTCTCAGATAAAATTGCTAGAGAGCTATATGTAAATGCTAAGAAAAACAGGAAATGGTAGAAAAAAGGTAGATAGAATCTTGCAGAGACTGCACTTTAGCTCTAAATCAACCCAGACTCTATTATTTTAAGGTAATGTCTACCCAACCTACATGGCTACCAGAAGATAAAGTGAGCACTTCCTGGAGGAAGGCTTCAAATATATTATACATATGAAGTCAGACAATTAAGTTCACGAACTCATTCTAGAAAAAGCACTATATACCTACAGGGCCAAGTTCTATCAGTTCTGTGCAGGCTGGAGTAGGAACCCTGAGTCCGGACGAGGTTCGGGCCCACAGAAGCAGCTGCTGCTGACATACGGACCCTGGCCCGAGACATAACAAACCGTGACTCCGGAGCCTGCTGCGTAGGTGCAGGGCTCTGGTGACTTAGGCTCTTTATGTAAGCATGATTCACAGCCGCGGGAGGGAGCATGCGTACTTCTGTGCGCTCTCCTTCCCCAAAAACCTCTATATAATGGTTGCTATTGGTGAATAAAGCAGCTAGCTAGTCCCTCCTGATGTCGGCTCTGCGTGATTTCTTTTTCCTGGGCATCTCACCGCCGAAAGCCCCCCAGCAGCCCCTTGGCGACGACAATACCTCATTGCTGAATATCACTATGGTCACCTTCAAAGTACTCCTCTTAGGAAGCTATGCACTGATGCCAATACCTAGTCCACCCTCCAAAGCAATTCTGGAACTCTTTTTCTGGAATAGCAATCAGAGCTGTCATCGTATTACCCTTGATGCCCTGAATGTCATCAAAATGTCTTCCTTTCAATATTTTCTTCCTCTTTGAGTTAAGAAAGAAGTCACTGGGGGACAGATCAGGTAAGTAGGGAGGGTGTTCCAGTACAGTTATTTGTTTATTGGCTAAAAACTCCCTCACAGACAGTATCATGTGAGCTGGTGCAGTGTCGTGATGCAAGAGCCATGAATTGTTGGCAAAAAGTTCAGGTTGTCTAACTTTTTCATATAGCTTTTTCAGCGCTTCCAAACAGCAAACTTGGTTAACTGTTTTTCCAGCTGATACAAATTCATAAGGAATTATTCCTCTGATAGTAAAAGAAATTAGCAACATCATTGCAACAAGTTCGTGAACTTAATTGTCAGACTTCGTGTACACATATAGTGTTACATTGATAATATTCAAGTAAAGCTGTCACTATTTGGGGATGACATAATTTTATATACAGAGGGTGCCAAAAAATGTATACAGAGGGTGCCAAAAAATGTATACATAGTTTAAGAAAGGAAAAAACTATGTTAAAATTGTAATACTCAATATATACCAATAGTAAAAGATGAAAACAAGTCATGTGTATATATTTTTTGGCACCCCCATATAGAAAACCTTGATGATGCCACCAAAAAACTATCAGAAATAATTTTTAAAATATAGTAAAGTTGCATGATACAAAATCAATATAGAAAAATCTGTTCCATTTCTATATACTAAAAATATCAGAAAGCAAAATGGAGAAAACATTCCATTTATAATCGCAACAAAAAGAATAAAATACCTAGGAATAAACTTCACAAAGGAGGTTAAAAACCTGTACACTGTAAATTGCTAGACGTTGTTGAAAAAATTAAAGACAAAAGACATAGAAAGGTATTCTGTGGTCATGCATTAGAACAACTCACATTGTTAAAGTGTCCATCTTACTTAAAGCGATCTACAGATTCAATTCAATCCCTATTCTAGTCACAATAGCAATTTTTACAGAAATAGAACAAAAAATCCTCAAATGTGTGTGGAAGCACCAAAGACCCTGAACAGCCAAAGCAATCCTGAGAAAAAAGAACAAAGCCAGAGGTGGCACACTCTTCAAATATGAACTGTAATGCAAAGTTATAGGAATCAAAGCAGTATGGTACAGGCAGAAAAACAGACACATAGACCAGGGGAATGTGTGAGCCCAGAAATAGCCCCACACATTTATAGGCAACTAATTTTTGAAAAATAAGCCAAGAATAAACAGTGCAGAAAGTAAAGTCTCTTCAATAAATGGTGTTGGAAAAACTGGACAGTTATGCGAGCATGTAAAAGAATGAAAATAGACCACTGTCTTACACCAAACACAAAATTAACTCAAAATGGATTAAAGACTTGAATGTAAGACCTGAAACAATAAAATACATAGAAGAAAACATAGGCACAAAGCTTCTGGACATTGGTCTCAGAGGCATTTCTGTGAATTTGATTCCAATTAATGGGAAACAATAGCAAGAATAAATGAATGAGACTACATCAAATGAAAAAGTTTTTGCATAGCAAAAGAAACCAACAACAAAATAAAAATGCAACCAACCAAAAGGGAGAAGATACTTGCAAATTATATTAGGTTCGTGCAAATGTAATTGTGGTTTTTGCATTGTTAAAATTTTCCTTTGATGTTGGAAAACATTTTTAAATATATGTGGTTATGTTATGCATCAACTTAATGTGCATTTTCCCCTTTATGTTTTTTTGCTAATGACTTATTACTTGCTACTTATTTTATATGTACTTTAGACTACGGAAGTGATGTTAGACAAAAAGCAAATTCGAGCGATTTTCTTATTCGAGTTCAAAATAGGTTGTAAAGCAAGTGGAGACAACTTGCAACATCAACAATGCATTTGGCCCAGGGACTGCTAACGAACGTACAGTGCAGTGGTGGTTCAAGAAGTTTTGCAAAAGAGATGAGAGCCTTGAAGATGAGGAGTGTAGTGGCCGGCCATCGGAAGTTGACAACGACCAATTGAGAGCAATCATCGAAGCTGATCCTCTTACAACTACTTGAGAAGTTGCCGAGAACTCAACGTCAACCATTCCACAGTCATTGGGCATTTGAAGCAAATTGGAAATGTGAAAAAGCTCGATAAGTGGGTGCCTCATGAGCTGATTGCAAATAAAAAAAATCGTAGTTTTGAAGTGTCGTCTTCTCTTATTCTACAAAACAACAATGAACCATTTCTTGATTGGATTGTGACATGCTACAAAAAGTGGATTTTATATGACAACTGGTGACAACCAGCTAAGTGGTTGGACCTGGGTGAAACTCCAAAGCACTTCCCAAAGCAAACTTGCACCATAAAAAGGTTATGATCACTGTTTGGTGATCTGCTGCCGGTCTGATCCACTACAGCTTTCTGAATCCTGGGGAAACCATTACATCTGAGAAGTATGCTCAGCAAATCAATGAGATGCACCGAAAACTGCAACACCTGCAGCCGGCATTGGTCAACAGAAAGGGCCCAATTCTTCTCCATGACAATGCCCCATCGCAATCGTACAACCAACACTTCAAAAGTTGAACGAATTGGGCTACGATGTTTTGCCTCATCTAACATATTCACCTGACCTCTCACCAACTGACTACCACTGTTTTAAATATCTTAATTTTTTTGCAGGGAAAATACTTCCACAACCAGTTAGGATGCAGAAAATGATTTCCAAGAGTTTGTCGAATCCCGAAGCACAGATTTTTAATCTATAGGAATAAACAAACTTATTCCTCATTGGCAAATATGTGTTGATTGTAATGGTTCCTATTTTGATTAACAAAGATATGTTTGAGCCTAGTTATAATTATTTAAAATTCACAGTCCGAAACTGCAATTATGTTTGCACCACCCTAATATTTCTAATAAGAGGTTAATATTCAAAATATATAAAGAACTCATATAACTCAATAACAAAGAAACAAACAATCCAGTTAAAAAGGGGCAGAGGATCTCAATAGAAATTTTTCTAAGGAAACCATACCAGATGGCCAATAGGCAAATGAAAAGATATCTAATATAACTAGTGATTAGGGAAATGCAAATCAAAACCACAATGAGATGACACTTCACACTTGTCAGAATGGCTATTATCAAAAAGACAAGTAGTGACAAGTGTTGGTGAGGATGTGGAGAAAAGGGAACGCCTGTACACGGTTAGTGGGAATGTAGATTGGTATAGCCACTATGGAAAACAGTATAGAGGTTCTTAAAAAAAATAAGACTAGAACCACCATATAATCCAGTAATTCCTCTTCTGGGTGTTTACTTGAAAAATATGAACACATTAATTCATAAAGATATATGCACCCTTATGTTCATTGCAGCATTATTTACAATAGCTAAGACATGGAAACAACCTAAGTGTGCACTGACAGATGAATGGATAAAAAACTGTGATATTTATTTTACACACACACACACACACACACACTCACACACACACACTGGAATACTACAGAGCCACAAAAAAAGATGAAATATTTCCATTTGCATCAACAAGGATGGATCTTGAGGACATTAGGTGAAATAAGTCTAGATAGAAAAGGACACAAACCAATTGATTTCACACTCACGTGGAATATAGCACCAAAAAAGTAACAAACAAAAACAAACTCATAGATACTGACAACAGAATGGTGGTTTCCAAAGTGGAAGAGGAGTGGGAGAGGGTGAGTTGGGTAAAGGGGGTCAAATATATGGTAATGGAAGAAAACTAGAGTCTACAGATATTGAATTATGATGTTGTACACCTGAATTTATATAATGGTATTAACCAATGTTACCTCATTAAATTTAATGAAAAAGGTAAACGCAAAAAAACAAACAAAAAAACTAACCCTCTCCCAATAGCATATTATATGATTCTAATTATATAAACTTTATATATATAAATATTTTTTTCAATTGGGGAACAGTGTTTTTCCAGAACCCATCAGCTCCAAGTCGAGTAGTTGCTTCATTCTAGTTATGGAGGGCACATCTCAGTGGCCCATGTGGGAATCAAACTGGCAACCTTGGTGTTATGAACGCTGCGCTCCAACCAACTGAGCTAACTGGCTGCCCCATATAAAGTTTAAGAATAGTCAAAAGTAATTTATAATGTTAGAATTTAGGATAGTGATTATATTTGGGGATAATGAGTATGACAGGGCATGAGTAGGGTATATAGAATGCTGGTATTATTTTATATCTTGATCTGGGCACTTGTTACATTGTGTGTTAAATATTTTTTTGTGTGTTTTTTTTTAAAGATTTTATTGGAGAGTTGGGGGAGGGGAACAGCGCTGGGGAATTGGGGGAAGGGGAACAGACAAGTTGCTGTCCTTTTGTTCTTCAGTCTAGTTGTGGAGGATGTCGCTTCACTGGCCCATGTTGGTATTATCATTGCACTCTTCCTTGGTGAGGCAGATCAGTTGCCAGCCACTGTACAGCCGCTTATGTCTGCCGGCTGCTCATGCCGGCTGCCAGCCACTCACAGTAGCTCACGGCAGCCCACTGCAGCTTCGTTGCAGCCTACGCTGTCGCCAGCAACTCGCAGCAGCCCAGCTCCAGGTGGAGCTGTTGTTCACCATCTTATCTGTAGAGGGCGCAGTGTCACTGGCCCATGTGAGATCTGAACAAGTGGCCATGCTGCTAAGAGCTGGTGTCCCAAGCCAACTCCTAACCAACATGCCACTCTGCTGTCCCTTAAATATTTTTAAATGTGTTTTTCACTTACAATTTGTTCACATTTTTAGGTTACATTTTAATAAAAATTGTCCTTAAAGAAGTTTACAAACAAGAAGGAGGCAAATCTGTTAAAATGCTGCTGCTAGTTGTTTCAATCTAGTTTTGGAGGGTGCAACTCAGTGGCTCATGTGGGGATCTAACTGGCAACCTTGTTGTTTTGAGTACTGTGTTTTAACCAACTGAGCTAATTGGTCATCCCAGGGATGCTATTGTTTTTACTTGCCTAATATTCACTGCCACATTTTCTCTCATTAAATTTCTATTTTCTTTGCTCAAAATAACAAGTATCCATTTGTTTTACAATCAAAACACTATAGTGAATTAGCTTCAAAGTTTATGAAATACTTCTTAAAAAACACCATCTATTTTTCTGCGAGAGTTCTTTACATACGTGCTTCACTTTGTTTCTCTTTGACTCTAAGCTATTTCTGTTGCTGAGGAAGTACTATGTGAAAATGTGTTTTTATCTGAATCATTCTTGGGCGAGACGGTTACTGTGGCTTAGCTCGCTCAGAATGGGAGGCAAAATGCACGATACCAATGATGTGGAGAAAGACGTTGTACCAACTGAATTGCTGGCAAATTCAGGTAAGAAACTGGGCTGTATGGAGTGAGTGTGAGAACTGAGGGAGTAAAATAGTGGTAGTGTTGGGATCCAGTTTGTACACCAGGGACAATGGTTAACAAGTAAAGAGCTTTCCGGGGTGAGAGATAGATTGGCTAGAGGCCATAGTTTGTTTATAATTTGTGTAACATAGACAGAAACTCAGATACTTGTCCTGACAAGTAAGGAAGGGAACTATAAGAAAAAGATGTAAGAGAACGAGATCAGGTTACATTTTGTGATTGAGAATAAAAGTGGTTAATTTCACTGAAAAGAGCAATACAAACTAAAGTATTATACAAATGCAAGGTATTAGCATTATTAAATAAGATAGAAAACCTATCATGAAAGCTCATAACAGAGGAAAAAAACTAAAAAGTAAGTAAAAGACATTTATAAATAAAAAAAGTCCAAAGAAAAACTTAGTAGAGCATTAGGTGAAATTAGTTTACATGGGATGTACTGTAAAGAGGACAAATATGTATATATGTACATATATCCCATATATTACATATTTATATGAAGTTTCAAATTAAAAAAATATATTTGAGGCTTTATATGGTGATTTAATAAGTGAAAAAAAAGTGATTTTGTACCATTTGGAGAAAACCGAGGTGGCACAATTTAAGAATAAAAGTTTTTTGTTCTTGATAAAAGTAGTAATTAACTTAGAGAGAAGGCAATTCAAATGAGGAAGAGACGATTTCTAATTCATGTTAAATGACTTCATTTATTTCCTCATTCACTTGGTACTTAAGTATTTTTATAACAGCTACTTTAAAATATTTATCAGATAATTCCAACATCTGTGTCTGTGTCATCTTAACATTGGCTTCTGTTGATTGCCTTTTCCCATGGAAGTTGAAATTTCCATGGTTATTCACATGCTGAATGATTTTGGATTCTACTCCAGAAATTTTTTTGTAAAAAGATTTTACTGGGGAGTTGGGGAAGGGGAACAGGCAAGTTGTTGTCCTTCAATCTTAGTTGTGTAGTGCGCAGCTAGCTCAGCTCCAAGTCTAGTCACCATCCGGCCTCTCAGCTCAAGGTGCCGTGTTCAATGGGGCACAGCTCACTGGCTCATGTGGGAATCAAACTGGTGACTTTGTTGCTCAGAACTCGTGCTCCTAACCAACTGAGCCACTAGGCCCGCTCCATAAATTTTGAATATATATTTTTATTATGAGACTCTTGACTTTGTTTAAATTTTTGGAGTATACTGCTATTTTTGGTTTTGGCAGGCAATTAGTCTCTTGAGGTTTAGGCCTTCTGTGGGCTCTGGTTCCAACCTCAGTTCAGTTTTCAGAGTCTTTGTAGTGCACTCAGTTCTTTTTTGCTTTCTCATCAGCCAGTGGTCCATCTGGGTCCTGGGCCATGTTCTATTCATTACTTTAGGTCTCAGTGTCTTTGGTACATTACTTAGGGTCAGGTTTAGCAAAAGCAGTTTGTAGGGGGGTGAGTTGAGGAGTTCACAAATAGGATTCAGAGGTCCATTTTCAAAGTTCTTTCCTCTTCATCATCTGCCCAAGGTCCCCAGGGGCTACTCTTTTCCGTTCTACATCCAGAGCTTTGTGACTCTAGTTCCCCTGCTCTATCATGCACTTCTGCAAATGTGGCTGCATCTGTCAGCCCATGTGACAGGAGGAAAGAGAAGAGAAAGCAGAAGGGAGGGGGTTTGGTCTCACCCTCTCGGAACAAGAGCTCTACTGAAGGGAGAAGACAATCACTACCCTCTGGCACAGTCATAATTCTACTGCCACTGCCATCATGATATTGCCTGAAGTTTGAGGCACACAAGAATGGACAGGAGAAAGAAAAACATGGGTTATTTTCATAGTCTGTCTGTATTAGTTCTTATTTCTACTCCTTTAGCCAGAGCCAGAGTGCTACTCCTGGAGCTCTCTACACTTGTGCCCCAATAATTGCCCATTTCAAGGCTTCTGGGTCCATTAAGTTCAGGGTACAGGTAAATTCAGTACTGTTATTGTGGCATCTCAAACTCTGGTGCTCTTGGTAGCATTGCTGTTACTATAGTATATGTAGTTTTCAGAGTCCTCAATAGCTGTTCTATGTATTCTGTTTAGGTTTTATAGTTGCATTCAATGAGAGACAGGGTGTGGTATGCTAGCTCCATTTACATGAAACCAGAATCATCCACCCATTGGGTGTCTGTAGAGCACCTTCTATTTTATAGGCACTGAGATGACAGAGACTCACTGATGAGCAAAGGGACTATGCTCCTAATGGAGCTTACAATAAAATGACAAAAGTATTTTATTGGGTTGTCAGAAAAGTCATGATGCATTTTTGCAATGAAAAACATAAAAACGTCATGACTTTTCTGACAACCCAATAATGATCATCTTTCCTTTTCACCTCAGCCTATTTGCCTTTGGTCCATGCTTTTGCAACTCAGCTCCCACCTACCATTTGAGGCTTCTTGACTTGTCTATCCTCTTGCTCTTACAAATGCTCATGGATGGCTAAATTTTATAGTTTAGGTTTAATTTGAGACCTCTGTTCTCTACTGTACTGTAAAGTATATCAATTTAGTGTCAGGGCCTAACAAAGAAAACTATCTTCTGAAGGACGTCATATTTCTGATCTACCATGTAAGGAGACTAGAAGTCATTGCTCTTTATCTACACAAGGAAAAAAACAAAACAACTAAGAAAAATCTGAAACAAACAAAAATCCCTGAAAAACTGAAAATCATCTCTTCTTAAATCCACCAGAGAACTGCGGTTATATAAAAAATGAGTGCCACTAGACTGAAGTGAGACACAGGTGGATGAAGAAAACCCTAACTTGTCAGAGCAGAAGCCCAGAAACAGAAAACTCCCCAGAAACCAGTATCAGTTCCCTTCTACTCAATATATCTTGTCCAGATTTGTGTTCTGACACCAATTTTCTGACCAACTGAGTGTCTTATGATTCAATTCAATTTTGAAACTACCCACATGTCTGCCTATTTTGTCCTGTAATTTTATGCTAGCTCCACTTACATGAAGCCAGAATTATCCACCCATTGGGTGTCTGCTGAGCACCTTCTATTTTATAGGCACTGACTTTGATGATAGAGACACAATGACAAGCAAAAAGACAAGGCTATTTAGAGCTTACAACAAAATGACAAAAGCATTTTAATAATCATCTTTCCTTTTCACCCCAGCCTGTTTTGCCTTTAGTCCATGTTCTTGCAACTTAGCTCCTGCAAGTTGAGGCTTCCCACAATTCCCTCAGGCTTGATAATTCACTGAAACAACTCACTGAACTCACTGAAGGCACCACATATATGATTATAGTTTCATTATGAAGGATGCAACTCAGGAACAGCCAAATGGAAGAGGCACATGAGGCAATGTTAGGGTGGGACTAAGAGCACAGAACTCAGACCACCCCCTGGTGGAACCCAAGTGAATTATCATCTCTGCATGTCAATCTGTTCACCAACCTGAAACCTCTATGGAATGCTGGAGTTTTGTGTCCAGAGTTTTTAATCCAGGTATTATTATAGAGGCACAATTGATTAAATCATTGGCCATATGATTAAATTCAGTTTTCTGCCTCCCTCTTTCTTTGGAGGTCAGAAGTCAGATGGTTGAAAGTCTCTGCCCTCTCATCAGATAGTGGTTGGTTTTTCTGGTGAGCAACACCCATCCTAGAGCTAGGTAGGACCCCACAGTAAATAATCACATTAGCATAACAAAAATATTCTTATGACTCAGGAAATTCCAAGGGTTTTTGAACTTCCTTGCCAGGAACTAGAATAATGACCAGGTATTTATTATGACACAGGCTTTCAATAATAATAATAATAATAATAATAATAAATTATATGCCATATTAAAAGACAAAAAATGCAGCTTGAAAACACAGAGCAAATATCAGAACTGACTCAATAATGATGAAATATTGGAACTATCAGACTAAGAATTTAAAACAACTATGACTAATATGCCAATCAAAATCCCAGGAAGTTATTTTGTGGATGTCTACAACATGGTTCTAAAGTTTATACAGAAAGGCAAAAGACTCAGAACAGCCAACATGATATTGATGAACAGAGTCAGAGTATTGATACTACCTGACTTCAAGGTTTACTCTAAACTATAGTAGTTAAGATTGAATAGATCAACGGAAGAGAAAAGAGAGCCTAGAAAAAGACCCATCCATAGTCAACTGATTTTGACAAAAGTGCAAAGACAATGAGAAAAGGACATTCTTTTCAACAAATGGTGCTGGAACAACTGGCATCCATATGTAAACAATGACCTTATACCTTTCACAAAATCCAAATGGATCAAAGGCCTAAATGTGAAATACAACACTAAAAAACCTCTAAAAGATAACACAGAAATTTTAGGTGACCTTGGGCTTGGTGATGACTTTTTAAATACAATGTTCAAGAATGATCCATGAAATAAAAAACTTAATAAATTGGACTTCATTAAAATTAAAAACATCTGCTCTATGAAAGATGTCATTAAGAGAATAAAAGTACTATAGAAAATCTTTTGTAAAACCCATACATGATGAAGGACTGTTATCCAAAAAAATATAAAGAACTCTTTTTTTTTTAGCTGAGCCATCCTGTCACCTGTTGGCAGCTCAGTGGCAGCTCAGCTCAGGCTGGGCATCGAACCGCTGTTGAAAATACAAAGAACTCTTAAATTCAACAGTAACTAAACAAAAACCCAATTAAAAATGGGTAAAAGATCTGAACTGACACCTCAGCAAAGAAAATATACAGAGTGTAAATAAGTATATTATGCTCAACGTTGTACATCATTAGGAGATTGCAAATGCAAACAAAAATGTGATTCCACTACATTCCTATTAGAATGGTTGAAACCCATAATACCGAAAACACCAAATGCTGGTGATGATGTAGAGCAACAAGAACTCTCATTCATCACTGGTAAAGCACAAAATAGCACAGCCACTTTGGAAGACAGTTTGGCAGTGTTTTACAAAACTAAACATACTTTTACTGTATGATCAGCAATCACACTCCTTGGTATTTACTCACATGAATTGAAAGCCTATATCCACACAAAAATTTGAGCGTGAACATTTATAGTTGCTTTATTCACAATTGCCAAAACCTGGAAGCAATCAAGATTCCCTTTAATAGGTGAATTCATAAACTGATACATCCACAGTATGGAGTATTATTAAGTGATAAAAGGAAAGGTGCTATTAAGCTACCAAAATAAGATCTTGGCTTATTGCCAAGAGAAAGAAGCCAACTGAAAAGGCTACATGTTGTATGAATCCAAATATAAGACAGTTTGGAAAAGACAGAAGAGACAATAAAAAGATTAATGTTGTCAGGGTTTTGAGGTGGGCAGGGAGGAAGAATGAATAGCTGGAGCATGTTGGATTTGGAGGGCAGTGGAACTATTCTGTATAATATTATAATGGCATAATATTATAATGGTGCATGCATGTCAACCAATAGAATGTACAACCCAAAAAGTGAACTCTAATGCAAACTATGGACTTCAGTTAATCATAATGTATCAATATTATCTCATCAGTTGTGACAAAAGTGCCATGTTCAAGATGTTAATTATAGTGGAAATGGGGGTGGGGGTGGAGGAGGGGGTATATGGTAACTCTATATCTCCCCTTAAATATTCCTGTAAACTTTAAAGTGTTCAAAAAAATAGAGTCTATTAATTAAGAAAAATGTCTTTAGTAACATCAATGAGAATAGCTGATGTCTCTAGTGTGGATAGAATGCTGAAGACAAATATGCCTATTTAATTAACCAAGAACATGTCTAGGTGATTTAGTTATAGTGTACTGTAGCTAAGAGATGGAGTCAGAAGAGGAATCCAACAATAAAATTTATAAGAGGTTTTATTTTTTTTTAATTTTTAAAAAAGATTTTATTGGGGAGTTGGGAGAGGGGAACACCGTTGGGGCATTGGGGAAGGGGAACAGACAAGTTGCTGTCCGTTTGCTCTTCAGTCTAGTTGTGGAGGATGTCACTTCACTGGCCCATGTTGGTATTGTGATCATTGCGCTCTTCCCGGGTGAGGCAGATCGCTCCCCGGCCTTTGGATGGCCGCTCACCGCGGCTCTTGGCAGCTCATGCTGGCTGCCAGCCACTCAAGGTAGCTCACGGCAGCCCACTGCAGCCCACGCCATCGCTGGTAACTCACAACAGCCCAGCTCCAGGTTGAGCTGTTGTTCACCATCTCTGCTGTAGAGGGCACAGTGTCAATGGCCCTCATATGGGATCCAAACCTGCGCCCTGCTCCTCAGAGCTGATGTCCCAAGCCAGCTCTTAACCAACGCACCACTCAGCTGGCCCTATAAGAGGTTTTAGATAACATAGGATGTTTTGAGATACAACACAAATATAGAAAATTGTATAAAACAAATATACAACTTAATGAATTATTGAGATGGACATCCTTATTAATTGCTATCTTTGTTAGGGAAAGAAGCTTGCTATCCAGCTCAGAAACCCTCCATGTATTCATTACGATTTGCAATCCTTTCCTCCCAAGAATACCACTAATTTTAGTTTTTAATAATCATTTCCTCACTTTAGTTTTGTCTTTTTAAAAAAATGAATTTTAAGTCCCTTTTAATTAAGAGATTCCCCCTTGATCACTTTTTAAATTTTCCTCTACATTTTCTTTTTAAGAACCAAGATCATTTGTTACATAGAATTTCTAATGGTCTTGATTGTGTTGATTTTATTCCTATAGTTTGACATGACTCTCTCTTTTATATCTAATAAATTGGTAGCTGCATCTAGAGGTGTAATCAGATTTGTGTTTATTTTTTGGGAAGGGTGCAAGGTTACTGCATGGGTTGTATATTCAATATCAATTTTAACTCCTGTGAACAATTAAATTATGGAAACAAAATTGTAAGTTCATAAAATGACAGGCCAATTTCCCCATCTAGTGAAAAAGGAAGAAATTAAGTTGAAGTAACATTTTGATGGGTAATGTTTCTAGTAGTTTGTTATCTGCATTTAAAGTAAAAATATGCTTTCCAATAATTATTACAGATTATCGGCTTTCAAAAAAGTGTTCCAGTATCAGAGTCCAGAGTGCCAACCGTTACACTATGCAACCCTTCTATTCCAGTATCAGGATTGCAACCTTGGTTATTGCCGTATGTATTGTAATCGTACTTATTACTTTGCTAGGTAAGTGAATTTTAATCTTTGTTCACCTAAGAATTACCAAGAGAAAACTTCTTGATAATTTTTCTGTTTTTTACAGTTCTTAATAATTTTTTTTTATTTCACCAATTGAGTTAAACAATAGCCTTATAGACTGAGATCTAAAAATTTTATTGTGTAAGATAGAGGACACATTATTGCAAATTTAATTAGATGACCAGAGTCTACAGAAATGAGAACCCAATTGCCACTCATATTGTGCTTTAATTTACATTATAGCTAGGCCTGTTATCATGTGTGTACACACACACACACACACACACACACACACACACACACACACACACACACAGTGCCAAAAATGTGTACACATTTTAATAAAGGAAAAAACTATTAAAATTGTAATTCTCAATGTATACCAATAACAAAAGATAAATACAAGCGACATTTGATCTCTGCAATTATAAGAGGTGCTCAAAGTGGTTACCATCAACATCCAGACACTTCTGACTACAGCAAACTACTGCTTGAGCAACGTTGACCAAAGTGTCCACTTGTATACATTTTTTTGGCACCATATATATGTGTGTGTGTGCATGTATGTATATATATATGATGTATGTACACATACACACATATTTATGTGTACATATATATCACAGAAATTGCATTTTCAATTAGTATTACTTCAAAGTCATTGTGCAAAGGTCTTGATGGAGGATATATGAAAATAGAGTAGTCGCAGTCTATGTGTATGAAATTTTTTTAATGCTTGAATATTGGCCAAGATTTCAGTATGTATTCTTTAAACAATGTATTAATTAGGATGTAGGCTAAGATGATATTAAAGAGAAAACAGGACCAAAGGGAAAAAAAAAACCATGTTGGCTTACAAAACATAGATTCCTTTGACCTCTCAGTAATCCTGAGATCTGTAGGTTCCTATCTTCCATTACTCTCTAGGATATCATTGGCATCTTCAGGATCTGACCATCAAGCCTATGTTTCCTGAAGGACAAGAAAAGAGTGCATTGAGGAGAGATGCTCAATCTTTTAAGGTCTAGAACAGAAAGTGTCATATATTTCTTCTACCCAAGTTTATTTGTGGAAACCTAGTAACAAAGGCATTTATACATAACAAGGAGTCTGGGAAATGTGAATTTTTATTACATTATTATAGAAGAAGGAAACAGATTTTGATAATTTACAGTCTCTTCCAAAACTACATATAGTTTTATCTTCTAACCCTGTTTAAACTTTCCACAAATTCCCAGGAGAAAATAAGACCTGCTCTTTGAAATAAGGAAAAATCATCTTCACTTATTAACCATCCAGTGATTAAGGTCTCTTTTTTCTTTCTCTCATTTCATTCTACTACATAGAGACAAAAATATTTATTCAGAAAAGATTTTCAGAAGCAGATAGGTCAAGAACTTACAAACATTGATTATGAATGTAATGTTCTTGGTTTAAAATGTACAGGAAATAAAAAATTAATAACAAATTTAAAAATCATCCATAATCTACTATAATAAGTATATTCTTCCAGATCTCCCTTCCAATATTTAGAATTGTTGAGGTGACTTTCTTTGTTTTGTTGTTTTCTATTGTGGCAAAATATACATAACATAAAAGTTACCATTTTTTAAATGTGCAATTTAGTTGCTTTTAGTATAGTCACAATATTGTCCAACCATAACCACTATGTTTCAGAACTTTTTCATCATCCCAGCAGAAACTCTCTACCTAGTAAACAATAAATTCCCACTTACCCTTGCCTCAGTTCCTGGTAACCATTATTCTACTTCTTTTCTATATCCTCATATGAGTGGAATCATACAGTGTCTGTCCTTTGATGTTTGGCTTATTTCATGTAGCATAATGTTTTCACGTTTCCTCCACTTTATAGCATATATTAGATTTTCAATCCTTTTTAAGGCTGAATAATATTGCATTGTGTGCCTATACTATGTCTTATTTATCTATTGATTTATTGAGGGATATTTGTGTTGTTTCACCTTTTGGCTGTTGTGAATATGCTGCCATGAACATTGTTGTACATGTATCTGAGTCTGCTTTTAATTCTTTTGGGTATATACCTAGAAGTTAAACATTGGAATACATGTTTAACTTTTTGAGGAGCTGCCAAATTGTTTTCACAGTCATTGCCTCACTTTACATTCCCACCAACACTGCATAAGGGTTCCAACTTCTCCAAATCCTTGTCAATTTTGTTTTTTTGTTGCTTTTATAGTCACCATCCTAATGGGGATGAAGTTGTATCTCATTGTGGTTTGGGTTTGCATTTCCCTAATGATTAGTGATGCTAAGCATCTTTTCTTGTAATATTTAGCCATTTTTATATGTTCTTTAGAGAAATGACTATTCAAGTCCTTTGTGCATTTTTAAAATTGGATTATTGTTCAGTTGTATTCTGCATAATTCCTTATCAAATATGATTTATTTTTTTTCAAATATGATTTTAAAATATTTTCTCCAATAACATGGGTTGTCTTTTCACTTTCTTGATGGTGTCCTATGAGGCACAAACCTTATTTATTTGATATAGTCTGATGTATCTATATTTTCTTTTGTTGCCTGTGTTTTTGATGCGATATTCAAGAAATCATTTCCAAATGAATGTAATGTAGATTTTCCCCTGTCATTTCTTCTAAGAGTTTTTATGGTTCTAGCTCTTAAATTAAGTTCTTTGATCCATTTTAAGTTAATTTTATATGTTTTAATGTAATGGTCTAACTTCATTCTTTTGAATGTGGATATCTAGTTTTCCCAGCATTGTTTGTTGAAAATACTATATTCTCCTAACTAAAGGTCTTAGTACTCTTGTCAAAAATCATGTGTCTATAAGCGCGAGGAATCTTTCTGGAATCTCTATTTCTTCTATTGGTTCTTATTTCTGTTTTTATGCCAATGCCATGCTTCTTTTTTTTTTTTTTCAACTATAGTTTTTAGTAAGTTTAGATGTCGGAAACAGTACAGGTGTTCATTGAAAAAAAATCTACATATAGGTAGACCAGCACAATTCAAACCCATGTTGTTCAATGGTCAACTGTATAAATATCATGCAGTACTTTCTTTCTGTCTGGTTATTTGACTTAGCACAATTTCCTTCAGGTTCATCCAGATTGTCACAGATGGCAGGATTTCTTCCTTTTTTAAGGCTGACTAGTCCATCGTATGTATATACCTAGAGATAAATCATTCTTGATATGGTATATTTTTCTTTATCCATGCATCAATGGACATTTAAGTTTTGCCATATGTTAGTTATTGTGTATAATGCCATACTGAACAGGAGAATGCAGTGATCTCTTCAAGATAGTGCTTTTTTTAAAAAAAGATTTTTTATTGGGGAATTGGTGGAGGGGAACAGCGTTGGGGAATCAGGAAAGGGGAACAGACAAGTTGCTGTCCTTTTATTCTTCAGTCTAGTTGTGGAAGACGCCGCTTCACTGGCCCATGTTGGTATTATCATTGCGCTTTTCCCGGGTGAGGCAGATTGGTTGCTGGCCCCTGGATGGCTGCTCACGGCGGCTCTTGGCAGCCATGCCGGCTGTTGGCCGATTGCGGTAGCTTAAGGCAGTCCACTGCAGCAGGGGCTGCAGCCTACGCCATCGCCGGTGACTCATGACAGCCCAGCTCCAAGTTGAGCTGTTGTTCACCATCTTAGCTGTAGAGGGTGCAGTATCACTGGCCCTCATGTGGGATCCGAAACAGGGCCTTGCTGCTCAGAGCTGCCATCCCAAACCAACTCTTAACCAATGCACCACTCTGCCGGCTGAAGATAGTGCTTTTATTTCTTTTGGATATATGCCCAGAAACAGTTACTAGATCATAAAATAGTTCTATTTTTAATTTTTTGAAGAACCTTCATTCTGTTTCCCACAATGGTTATCATAATCTACATTCCTACTAATAGTGTACAAGGGTTCCCTTTTCTCCCCATCCTTACCAACACTTATCTCTTTTCTTTGTGATAAGTGACATTCTAATAGGTGTGAGGTTATATCTCATTGTGATTTTGATTTGCATTTCATTGATAATGAGTGATGTTGAGTACCTTTTCATATATCTGTTGGCCATTTGTGCCTTCTTTGGAGAAATGTCTATTTAGTTCTTTGCCCATTTTTATATAGGGTTTGTTTTGTTTTTTTGGCATTGAATTATATAAGTTCTTTACATATTTTTTATGTTAATGCTTTATCAGATATATAGTTTGCAAACATTTTCTTCCATTTCATAGGTTGCCATTTCATTGTGTGTTTCCTCTGCTGCAAAGAAACTTTATCTAGATGCCATCCCATAAGCTATTAGTTTGGTGTAACCCCACTACTTTGGTTGTGATGCCTGCTCTTTTGGTGCCATATCCAAAACAACATTTCACATATCAATGTCAAGAAGCTTTTCCCTGATGTTTTCTTCCAGCAGTTTCATGATTTCAGGTCTTATGTTTGTCTTTAATCCATTTCAAGTTGACTTTTATATATGGTGTGAGATAAGGGTCCAATTTAATTCTTCTGCATGTGGATATCCAGTTTTCAAAACACTATTTATTGAAGAGATTATTCTTTCCCCGTGTATGTTCTTGGAACCTTGTTGAAGATTAGTTGACTGTAGATGTGTGGATTTATTTCTAGGCTCTCTATTTGTTCCATTGGCTTATATGTCTGTTTTTATGCCAACACTATACTGCTTTGATTACTGTAGCTTTGTAATATATTTTGAAATCAGCAAGTGTCACTTTGGGTATTTTAACAATGTAAATTCTTCCAATCTATGAACATGGGATGTCTTTCCATTTATATGTTTTCTTTAGTTTTCTTCATCAATATTTTATAACTTTCAGTGTACATGTCTTTCACTTCTTTGGTTAAAGAAGTTGGTTAAAATTGGTTAAAATTATTCTGAAAATTTCCTTTTTGGATAGTTTGCTGTTCATGTATACAAATGTGACTGGTTTTTGTATGTTTTTATATCCAGCATCTTTGCTGAATTTGCTTACT